CACATGCGGCTCGTATTAAGAGCACTCATGTACACATGTGTTGTACCAGATGTTGTAAGTGTGCTGCGCAGAAGATCGAAACGTTCACGCCAGCACGCGCATGCGCAGCCCGTTCGAAACTTTACGAAGTATTGTAGTCATGACGGATGATGCAAGCTTTTTCGAAAAAGACAAGCGGTGCGCTTGAAGACCACACACGCGCTTAGACTAACGAGTCGGGTTGGACAGTGCCTCTCAATAAACAAAAAGTTGCGTATAATTCCTCAAACAACAACGGTATAAAATGGAACTCATGCACTTAAGGATCGCAGCCTAAACAAGTCAACAAAACCGAACGAACACACATTGTGAGTTATCACACTTCAACGCGCAGAGTCGGACCTGGGTATAACAATTTGTTGATTTGGTTAGAGGACACTGAACGTTGGCGAGGTTCGTGGAGTTAGTCTACAGAAAAAAAAGACGAAAAAAGAGGCCCACAAAACGCGTTTTCTCTGAACTAACCAAGGAGGACGTGCCACCCGGGGGAGACGCGGGAGGAGGTGTAACCTATGTGTTCAAGTTTCTTCCATTAGGAATTTTTATCGGACAAAAAGACCAACCGAACAAAAGTTGAATAGGAAACAGCAGCTAATAAACTTGACTTGGCACAGCATTCCTCGTACTGCGGACCACTGACAGTATCCCTGCTGGGGTCTACCCACTTCCCTACTTCGTACACCATTCATATCCTCAACTTCATTTTGAACAGCATTACATCGGCAATAGACCAATACCTTGATGTCGTCCAGACAAGCCTCAGTGGTAGCAGAGATGTGCTTATCCACGATGATATTGCAGAAAACAGAGAACCCAGGCTGATGTCAACAAGTGATGTAGTATGAAGTTTACTGGTGGACTTGTGTTAGCATGATGGCCAAGGTGCCCAACTTGGGCAAGAAAACGATGGCGATCCTCAGCTGGGGTACGACTCCAGTATCATAGGATAAGGTAGTGGTGGTCAAAGTCAGTTAACTGAGGGAGTCTAAATTTCACTGGCGAAGTTCCCATAGATAAACGGAAGGGGCAGCGGAACTGGATTCATCCATCCAAATGGTTTCCGACTTGAGGTCGCGACCACCATTCCTGAGCTGTCTCATTTTCCGCCCCATCAGCTAATATCCTGGATCTACCAACTAATCTTTTGTGCTACCCGGCTTCAATACAATTGGAAACTTTCGGACAATTTTCATTTATGTATTGTTGAACTTTATTCTTTAGCACATGTAAGGGCTTAAGCATAGGCAACTAACTGTGCTAACGCTAACAACTAAATGACGTCAATAGTAGCAGAGCGGATGTCCCACTTAGAACTACCATACTGCTTTTGTTTGACAGTATCTCATGGAGCTGGGGGCGCAGGCGGTAATTCGATTATGTAAAACTAAGATGAACATTTACTTCCCTTCAAATACGGACATCGCGGTTACTAAAACAGGAAGAAAATATAGTTTTCGTTTATCCAGCTGAAAAGTCTTCGGTGCATGTGCTGCGTCTGACATTTCCCTCCAGTGTTTTCATCTATGACGGTTTCAGCTGACTGGAACACCAAGTGAATCTTTTGTACCCTATGGTCAGAAGTTTGTCAAGGACCCAGTAAACTCCCTGATGTTTCAGAATTGTGTGAGCTCAGCGCGGCAGCATACGATACAGGTAAAGTCAGTGACTAAATTCGGCACACAGTCATATGGTTGTGCTCGACCATAGTGGTCAGTGACTGTCCACGCACTGTTCAGAGTTGAGAAACAATACCTTACTGTGGGGTTCACAAAGCGAGTAAAATGCCCACTTGCATCAAATGAAGTAGTGTCAAATAGCTCACAAGTCTTAAAGCCGGCATGTGACATTGAACGATGTAACTCAGAAAGTAACCCGCGTGTTTTAAACACTATGGATGGATAGAACGAACACAAGGGACTCAAAATGCGCGGAGTGAGTAAGCTGGAAAGCTTTATGTCACTAAGTAAAGCAATGGCTGCAGTATCTTCAAACTTTATCAAATGGCAAATTAATGGAGTGAGGAACTGACAATACGACGAGTCATCTGGAAGCGCGACGGATCACCGACGCCCTGTCGACCACAAGGAGGGGTTGAAATAGTTAAAACCGAGCTTCGTCTACTCGACCACTTTAGTCATATGCGGAACTTTCATCCTTGGGTAGCTTAAAGGACGGTTAGTTTGAGGCAGTTTCCGCACTCACCCAAACACTTTTGTCTATACTGAGAACGATTTTTAACTTCCATTCACCCTTCATCTGACCGGATGCTGCTCTCATTAGCCTTCTTTCCTCTTTCCCACTACCTTCTGATTCTACCTAACACTTTCAAACAGAATCCCGACGGTTTTGTAAGAAAGGCATTAAATATGTATTTCGATCTTTCGTTGTGGTTGTCAGCTGTCTGCTGCTAATCCCGTTGTCGTCTACGCTAATCTCTTGTCTTGTTTAGACCTCCACAGGCATGAAACACGTGCCATTCCTTAAGTGATTGGCTAAAATACTAGCTAGTTAGTCACCAGTGCATTTCTCGTTGGTGAGCGTCATTCGCAACTGATAGCAACAATGGCCGCAAACACCACGCCTATTCACAAGTTGGTGTTCCTCCTATGCGGTGACGTGAATGTGAACAGCAAGTAGTTGGGATAAAGTAGGCTAGTTTCAAATTTAGGGCACCCAGATTGAGCTAAGGCTGGGATATATAGTAACACTGAAACTGCATGCACAATCTGTTCAGTGCTACAACCAAACTAGCCATTGTGGATAAAGACGTATTAGTACGAAACGGCCCCATGTTCGGTTCCTCCTTCAACCCTTGTATGATATCATTATATTCTACACGAGGTGATATACTACCAGAGACGTTTACGCCCAAAATATATGCCAAAGTTTCAACACTCATCCCAAATTTTATAGGGGGCACTTGTCCTCCGCCTCCACAAAATTGATTGTTTCATGCAGGTGCAGGTACACTGCACATACTGGCCTTTATACAGGACTTTAACAAGCGGTTGCTAGCTCAAACAGACGTTGCACCCCCACCCCCACACGGTCGACAGATCACAAGTTACTGTACAAAACACACCAGTGCCCCGGGTAAGAAATATCATGTTTCTTTCGTTTGCTTCTCCAGTGGGTACATGCTGATCAGCTTCCGTCAATAAATATTGTGCCTAATCATCATCGACCGCTTCACAATAGTCCAGTGGGGGCACACTAATCCCCCAGAGCACACATCCACATTGGGAGATGTGCCCAGATTGCAAAAATTTAAGGATTACTGGAATCAGATACATCGAGAATACAAGTACCATCATTAGCCACGTGGTCTGCAGTTAATTGTTTTTTAATTGATGCAGACCTTTTTCTACTGTCGACGCCAAAAATGTGTAGAGTTCAGTGCACGTGAGATTATTTGACAATCGTTTGGATGAGGTTCATTCTTATATTTAAGTGGTGCAAAAGAAGCTAATTTATTGTGTACTTGAGTAACGGAAGCTTGAAATCTCGCATGGGAAACTTTGGTTTCTCCGAAATGCAGGATGTAATGCGATGCCTTCATAACCAAAGTGGAAGGCACAGCAACTGTGCGCATAGAAGCGCGTCCATTTAAAGTCACTGAAAACAAATTCGGTAAAAGAAATCTGCTTGGGTCTTCTAATAGCAGCTGTATTCATTATCGATATTGCGAATTACTTTGTTGGTAGACTTCTTGTCTGGAAGAACATCGAATGCATAACTAGGAGATTTTTTAACTGCTCACTACCTAGTAAGTACAGCGCCGATGAAAACCTTCATGCAGTGCATTAGCTTCGTCTGTTCGGATGCCCATTAACCATGTGTGGTCACCTAATTTTCCTTAAAGTAGTCCGCTTGTGAAAACCAACTCCGATCTACATAGGGTTAAACGCTCGTTAAGATGACGTTGATAACAGAAAGTTCAAATAGAAAGTTCAATAGGATCTCTCATTTTCACCCAGCTAAAACATGAGGTGTCCGTTGTACAGGAAGTCTGATTGATTACAATTATAAACCAGTGATTCAGTGGAGTAGCAATCAAGTCTTCCGTGGACGCTGAAGGTGGAACTCCTAGAAATACTAATGGTAGGTCCTGCTAAATAGGTTAAAGTTTTGTAAAACATCCGCGTCCAACATAATTTTGTTGCCAATACCGTTGGTGAGACTAAGACTCATGTCTGGCCACTGCTGGCAAGCACGTAAATGATTAAATTACGTGATAGATCAAAGGACGGTGTCTGTGTGTGAAATACGAACTAAAGTGAATCAGTTGTTTGTGAGTATCTGGGTTTCGAATGGGCTGCAATTAAAGGTTGAAAACAAACTAACAGCCCAAAACACCACGGCAAGTATTATTAGTTTCCTTAGGGGTGTAGTGACTCCGTCTTGGGATCAAGGATACTGATTTGGATTGTGGAAACATTTCACCCCTTTTAGGAGGCGAGAAAGCTCAGTCGTTAGAGCGCGAATTTACTGACCGGAAGGTCCGTGGTTTGAACCCGACTTCTGGCTCTCGACGTCCCCTGTCTAGGCTTGGGCAACCTGGAAGTATCCCGGCCCTGGCGCTCCCCTCTGGTGGCATGGCAGTTGGGTAACCAAAGGAAGCCACAGCTGAACGATTGCTACATATGGAGCACTGCTAATAGAATAATAACATATGGGAAAGACCACTGTGGTGGCAAACTTCCTCCTATCCTCCTCACACACTGAAACAGTTGATATGAGAAAGTGAAGAAGTAAAAGGAAGTCCATGTAAAGGTTATTTCGTCAGTAGTTGTCCCACAAAAGCGAGTTCCACAGGTTAGGGTTAGCGAATCTTCCTCAACTTTACAATTACAAGATATAGCAAGATATAGCAATCAAATACACTGTTCATAATTTGATACTTAGGAACACAAAGACGCAACAACTAAACAGGCGTTCGTTGTTTGAAATGGGAGACTTACTCGTGCAACGACTGACTTGATCCCACGTTTAAGGCAGAAATTTGGCGATACGTCGGTTCATAGGTCTGTGAACTATCCACGGCCGTACTGACCATGGCCATTGCCTTCGTCGCTGTTGGTGCCGGGAAAGCAGAAACTGGTGTGAACGGTTTCGTAGATGAATATAAAGAAGCGGTCAGAAGCTGAGATGACTGGCGGAAGGAGCAAATGGTACATTCGGGCACTTGACAGGGGCAGTACAGAGGCTGGTTTCTGCTCCACTGCTGAGTGGGTGGGTGCTACTTGGAAGCTGGTTGGTTTGCTGGTCTGGTGCGCACGTTGTGCTTAAGGCCATTTGTGAAGCGCGCCTACCAGCCTGTCTTGTGTACGACACACAAGAACGCACGAACACACACAGCTAAAGCGACTTGATGCTTTCTGATTGTAGGGTGACGACAGAAGCTGCACTTTGAGAAGGGGGGCTGAACACACATTAGATCAGAAACGGACAATTTCAATGTCCCCCATTATGCCGCTATTACGATTTTCTGACCAATGCAGGCCGGATAATGGAGTCCAGACAGTCATGGTAGGCAAATGCCAAATCAACAAATAACCAATGAACAAATGACTACGTTGATTTGTGGGCACCATTCATATGTCGTAGATTCAGGCAAAAGCGATCAGCTCTGATCAACCGTGCAACAACGTACATGTGTCATCTCTGGCCTGGGAAATTGACAGCACATGGAAATTAGGCGTTTCCGTCCCCAGAGGCAGGATATCGCCACTCCTCGAAAAAGTGCCCCTTCAACTGTTTCAACTTGACCTAGGTGGTAACAGATTCAAACTGGAGAACGCGCTGGACACAGACCAGTGGATCGGACTTACCACTCGGAAAAAAATTGGGGATCCCCTCAATTAAGTTCTGTGCAGAGAGGTGACTGATTATTCACATATCCACATCCGTAATTTGAGGGTCGTGGAGCATATTTAATTCCCCTGTCATCAATTTGTGAGGACGTTTAATGCCCCAAAAGTGAAAACGCTATAGTCAGTTTACGAACCATAGTAGGGACTACAAAAGTAATAGAAATCAAATGTTACGGGCCGGTGATCCCCTCAAAATCCGTTCAGAACTTTTGCCAAAGCTCGATGAATCGCTTAAATTAAATTGTTCATCTGATCGCAGATACTCTGTTGCCCAAATTGAAAAATTCTACAATCCTGTTGGAAAATGCAAGGAGATTGTCCCCCTCGCCCGTTATCTACGGATGAAGTTCTTTTCCTAAAGAGTCCACTGTAGTCCTGTTCCGTAAATTTTGTGATTGGACTGATGAACTAAATGCCAGCCTCTGAAAAAGAATTATAAAATGTTAACGATTTCAGCTCTACTCCTCGCCAACACGCTTTACTTGTCCCAGAAATCAGGATATGAGAAGGTTGTTTGACATGGCAGCTGTTCTCAGGTTAGGTTTTACTCGGGTTTCTCGAAACGCAGTCTGAGGCTCACTGGTTTTGCATTTCCGACACCGTGTTTTGAGAGTATCAGCCGAAGTTTCCCTATAGGGGATGGTCCTATGACTTGTGTGGAGTACAGGAAACCATAAGATGGAGTGTGAGCTAAATTGTTGTTTTGTCGCCGTTTCATAGTCAAAGTAAAGAGCGCTTAAAGGTATTGCTAATGCTCATGGTGATTATTTGGCTACATGAAGTGGGCAGATGTGGTTCGGCTTATAATCCTCTCGAATGACCCAGGTTTTCGATCGATTACACAATGCGAAATAAAGGTGGAACGTAAATGGTTTAGTTCAACTAAAACAAAGGTCATGGGACGCTTCTTCACTAGCACAAAGCTTTGGACGGTAGTCAGTATAAAGTCTCGGTATTGTCGGAAAATAAAGCGGTCATAGGACCTTTCATTTGTTGTGTCCTCATGGTACACTGGTAGGTTGCTTGCGTCCGATTTCGCGAGCCCTTGGTATCACACTGCCGAATCTCAAACTATTCTGGCTCCATGCGCTCTTCCTAGCTTCATGACACCACGGATGTTTAATCTGTTTCCCAGAATCTTATTGTGACAAATTATGTATGATCATGAACTGGTTTGTACTACTTCACACCGGCAATCTAACTGGACAGGTATCTGAGACGAATACAGTCAGAATATCCTAACAATTCAAGCATAAAAATAACAAAAATTCTTTATTTCGAGCTAACTTCTTCAAGTGTGGAACTTGGACCTTGCATTTCATCGGTATCTGTAGCCAAAAGGTAAAAAAAATTTCTCATGTTGTTTTGTAATGAATTACCATTTTGACCACATTGATGCTTACTCAAACTTGAGTTTGTGACTTTGGCACAAATAATTAATTTTGTGGGACGATAAACCTGAGAGCACTCATTCAGGAAGCTCAAAGAAAGCTGCAAAAGGAGGTGACAGGCAACCACAAGCGGGCTGCAATACTACGGTGAGAGTGGGACAGTTATTAAAGTATCTCGAAAACTAGATAACCTAGTCCCTGGTAAAATCTCATGTTTACCTCGTTTTGCCTGAGAATTCTGTATCAAACCTGATGAGTAAAGAATAGCATGGAAAAAACACTCAAGGGAGTTGACCTTGTGGCTTGGTTACTCCTCCAAAAACTTTTCCCACGAGAGGGACTACTTTGACCGGCGCCTAAGGGTGGTGCTTATTGGAGGATCTCTGTATATGGTCGACTTGGGAGAGAGGCCCTTAGTAGAGAGATATACTGTCATTTGAGCCAACAATTGCACAGTATCTTCACAAAGAGGACCCAGAAGAGGGGAGGGTATTTCCATAACCTTTATGATACTGGGTTGCCGCCCCGTATGATCTAGATTTGGACTTTTCCATCATCGTCATCATCATCATCATCATCATCGATAGCATGACATCAGTGTTCAACACCGATGCTTCACTTCACATAGTAATCTATCCGTATTCTTAACGGTAATAAGTCGTGTCTTCTTGTATTTCAAGTGATTTCTCCTGGTCAGTTCTTAGTTCTTACGAAGTAGACTGTGGTGTTGATAGTGGACTCAACTACGCAAGTATTTCTCAATCACCCGGCGGGTATTCTCAACTATGAGGAGGGTAATTGGAAGAGGATTGTTGTCTCATGTTTACAAACTCTCCTCCTCTCTCTTGTTCACTATTGCTTGTGAGTCCACTTCACCATAAGGCACTGATCTTGTTCAATGAGATACAAGCGTGCGCACTACAGTTGTTAAGCTGAGTGACATGCAAATGCTACTGTATTCTGAAAATCAAAAACCATGTTCACAGTTTGGCGGGAGCAATCAATTCGGTTGTCTATGATTATATAAAATGCTAAAGAAAGAATGAGTTTTGACAAGTTCTTATATTTTTAGACTGCGAATAAAGTATTCTACATTGATCCAAAACACTCGTCAAAGAAACAACATGAAGAGTATCAAATTTGGTTTCTACTTTTTGTTATGTGGGTCCTCCACGTTAACGAAATCCTCCAGTAACTGGGTAGGAAAAATTCTAAGCTATGACACGCAGGCATGAATTACGGCACAATACTGCCAGCTGTCATTTCCATCCATGTCGAAAACATCTTCAGAATAGTAAGACGAATCGAGTTCTACCCATCCAAAACGAGGCCAGAATTTCGAAATTCCAGTGATGGGGACTGCTGAGAAAGTGGAGCCCCCATACTTGAAGCCATCAGTCAAAGGGTAAATGAATGTCATTCCAATTCGTCTGGAACTTAACTGTCTAACATTTAACCACATTGTTTGTGACCTTTTGTCTTTGGCAAAAATAAAGGGTCTTATTTATTGTCCACTTATATTACGAAGTATCAGTATGATTGTACATAGTAAAAATGCAGCATGTTGTGAAAACGACTCGTTGCACTTTGTTCCCTCTACACACTTCCCGCGGGTGTACACGTTGTGTGTGATCCCTAGGCGTCTATACACCCACCGACCCGAAAGCCAGACCCTGAAAAAAGCTACTGACTTTGAGTTGTCTGTTATACCTTCTTAAGAATTCTATAGGAACCTCCCATAAGGCAGTTAGTTGCATTTAGTGCCGTCTCACTTCAACTGCGAAACACCTAAGTGCACAGTTTGGATCCATTAGCTACCATATTTACATAGTGCCAGGTGGGGAGGACAGTGAGTCTCTATCAGGAATAACTTGAAAACTATTAGGATCCCGGAACAGTGGGCAAGTTGTAATGTAGCAATTATGGAATGATACTTTACCCTACAGAGACTCATTTTGGGATGGAAGCATTTCCAAAGCCACTCCATAAATATACAGGATTTCATAAATCCTGTGATTGTTTGACCCTATTTTGGTGACGGAATACTGTGTGCATATACGTCACCGTTTCGGTAAAACAATGTTCCATGAAAAATCTACTCCCCCCTCCCCCCGAAAAACAACAACAACGTTTGTGGTTCAATTTGGCTTTTTCGGGGTCTGCAGCGCCAGACTGAGTGGGTATGAGTTATCAACCTCTGGTTTGTTCCAGGATTGCTTTGCAAGTTCGCGTACGAATCCGGGCCACTGCCTATCAATACCTTTGAGATGACCGCTCCGCTAAGAACCTTATTTGACCTTAACATCATCCCATGTAATTTGCTACGTCCAAGGGAAATCCAACGTGGCGTTTCATTGATATTCCCAAACCATGTCACCATTGATAGAAGAACTTCAGATCTGTTCGGTACAGATTAAACAGCAGTGTATTTGTGAAAATGACAGCTGTATTTCTTGGTTGTATGGGCGACATTTCAAATGAAGTCGAATACACAGAAACGCTGTTTGGTCTGATAGGTCTAGAACGCGATGAACACCTATTTTGAGTCCAATTTTACATTCAAAGTATGGAGTGTTGGGTTCTAAGTTGCATTACCCATACTTTGTGTAGACTTTGCTCAGTGTATCTCACATAAGATTTTTACATTCAATGGTTCTCGCCTTTAACCAACCGGGATTAAAGAAATATCGAACGTCTCAACGGATTTGGAGAAACTATGGAATTAGCTTTGAATCACTGTCTGGCGGAATTTTATTAACTGGTTGGCGATTGATCATTAAAGGGTATGTATATGTAACGTGTACTGTACCATTCATAACTCGATTATTTTGAGACAGTCCTGCCATTTTTTTCGTCTAGTTCAAAAGCTGAATGCTTGGGTCAAGCTTTCCTGTAAACTTTCATTCGAAAAAAGAATTTTCCGCATCAGCTCAACGTCATTAATGTGAGGCAC